GGCGCGGGCAGCGGCGGCCGCGGGCAGGTGGGCGCGGGCAGCGGCGGCAGGCCGGGCTCCGGGTGCCGGTACCGGTACCCGTGCGTGCGGGCGGGCACGTAGGCGCGGGGCCGCGGTGCGCCTCTGCCCGTGCGGGCGCGTGTCACGGCGGCTGCCCCCGCCGCTGGGCGCCTGCGGCTGCTCTCGCTGCCTCCCCGCGGGAGCGTCTCCACCCCCCGCTCCCCGCTGCGGCCGGTGCCCTGCCCGGCTCCGCCGCAGCTGCCGGCCAGGCCGGGAGCTCAGGTGATGCTGGCGCGGGGGCGAGTCCTCCGGCAAGGTCGCGGCAGGAGCCCGCGCTCCTCGGCTCGGCACCGGGCTGGCCGACCCCCGGGGACGGGGAGCGGGGTCACTCGAAAGGGGAGCGCGGCGTGTCGGGGCTGCAAATGGCGGTGGTGGTTTCGCCCACGGGGGTGTGGGGGCGGCGCGGCCGTTGGCGGCGGCCGTTGGCGGCGGCCGTTGGCGCTGCCCGCTGCGCAGGGCCCTGCCCGCGCCGCCGGCGGCAGCGGCGCCTCCTCCTGCCGCGAGGCAGCGGGCAGGACAGTTGGGGCAGGTGGCGGGGCCGCCGCGGCCGGGGCAGCGAGGCGCGTGTCCCGCCGGGGAGCCCCCGCCTTGCCGCAGAGGCGGTTTCGCGCCCGGGGTGGGCTCGTCTTACCCCTTGGATCGGTAGGCTAGGGAATCGGCTTCACGTGAGGCCGTTTCTTGTCCAATATCGTGTAAACGGAGAGCGTTGCCCCCTCGGAAGGAGCGTCACACTCTCYGCGTTACCCACTTCTATTCCCGGGTGGTGAGGGGGGCCTTGGTCTGCGCCTCCCGTTTGTGTGGAGTCACGGCCAAGGGCTTTGAGCAGCGATAAGCACTGGAGAAACGGGTGGGTTGGGTCACTCRGCTGTGCCTTTCCCCCCTCCCTGTCCAAGCCTAGATATGGTGTAGGTCTCACCCGTGTAACCTGCTGCTTTCAGACATGTGCAGAATGACATTTGTCACCTATGAATCCCTGCCCCCAGGGTCAGCCCGTTAGACCTTCCCGGCTCTGCCAGCCATTTTCTGTCTTCCCAGTGCCACCCTGGGTCGGTGTGTGTGCCGRTGTGCTCCCGCATGTCCTTGCTGTGCTCCTTGCAGCGCTCCTTGCAGCATCGCTCGTCTGCTAAAGCTCGTCCACAGCAGGCAGAAACCAGGGGAGGGAAGATGTATGGTGGTGTCCTGAGGGTCCTTTGGGGGAGAAACCAAAGTCAGCCAAGTACTGTTATTTGGCAGTTGTCTCCAATTTTGCCCTTAATAGGGTTTGAACTCTGGGAGCTATTTTGGATGGGAACAAGAAGTACTTGCTGTTCTCAGCACTGTAGTGAAAACCTGCAACCCTGATGCATCAGAGACAGCATCCAGTGAAGCTAACGTAGCTAACATACAGTTCTGCAAGCTATGATCCTGCTGTCATTAAATAGGCTGCTATGCTACACTAGGTAGATCAATTATTCCATCTGTGAAGTTGTTTTGCTGTCATGTAGTTAGAAAATACATCTCTCTCAAACCTAATTTAATACACACTCATTAACCATCTTACCTTGTRTTTAGTAAAATGCAGAATCATTAGCACACCTCCAGAACATTTTTGTTTGCAAGATAAGATAGTCTTGCCTCCTCTAAAAGACCTTGTGCACACCCATGCAGTGATGCTACAGCTGTACTGTCCTGTAGGTTTCAGAGTCCTTCTACCATAGTTTCTATACATTGTTGCTGCTTTTGAAGGAGTTTTCCTGCATGCACAAAGAGGAAAATAAAAAGTATCTCCACAAAAATGATGTTTTTAAATACAGGAGTGCATAATATGTTAAGATACGTTTTGATGATGCGGCCAAGTTAGGAATGGTGGTGAACCAAAGGCTATGTAGCGGGTGGCAAGAATAGGTCTTCTAGCTCAAAGTTTTTTATCAGAGCTAACAGAGAGTAAATATTCTGCAGGGTAGAGCTCTTCTCAACCTCGATGCTCTTCTGTCATCCTTTTGAAGGGAGCCAGTGTAGATATATAACGAAGTCCAGCTTTAGTCTACCTCAAAGGCTCTTGGAGAAGTAGAGGTCCTGAGAACTTTGAACAATAAACCTTGCTCATGTAGCCAAAGTTTTTTTTTTTTTTTTAATTAGTAGTAGTATTTTGATTGATGGTTCTGTAGGGATTGATGGTTCAATAGGTTCAATGGGGTTTGATGGTTCCGTAGGTAGAAGCATCCATGGATCCCAAATTTTACCAAAATTCTTGTTCAAATCATTCTCCTAACTGAATTGAAGTTGCCTTTGATTTGATATGACATGGGGAGAGGGGCACGGATGTTCACACTTTGTGGCTTTTCCCTCTCACCTTGGGACATCCTGAATAATTTATCAAGTCACCTATAGCTGGGATATGGCACAGTGTACTCCTGGAAAGGGGTTCAGTCCAGGCTATTTAAAATCTTGTGCAAGGAGATGGTTGAAAAAGCAAGTGTTTTTGGAAAAACTGYAGGTATTAATTTAGCAAGTCACAAACGTGGTGATATACAGTGTGCAGTTAAAATAATGTAATTTGCAGTGTCATAGAGAATCTCTTTGTTAGAGGAATGACCTTTTTGCAGGGGTGGGAGCGGAAGGGATCCTGATAGAGATTGAGTGCGTGAGAGTGGCTGTCAAATGACAAAGCTTAGCGACTAGGCTGCCATTTCTCTTTGCAGTTTTATAACTGAGGTAGATAGTGCTCATATCCTCAAGATGGAAACTGGTATTTATTTGCCAAAACAAAGTACAGAGGAGAAGGTTTCATTTATTTTCCATTGGGATAGGGCTGGAGATAGCAATTCAAATGTT